GGGGGGGGGGGGGGGGGGTGGAGGGCTTCTGACGGCTTTGCTTCATCAGCAGAAATGTTGTCAATACTTTTGACTTTTTTATCGCCCTTACCTAGAATGAGAGTTATGAAATCCCATCAAGAAATGCTAACAAACTTAGGAAGGTTGAAAGCCGAGCTTGAACAGGAATCTAGAACGGTAAACCTCATCAACTCTTTGTGAAATTATGGCTGTGTATATTCGCCGATAACTCAGTAACTTCTGTTTTCAAAAACTGAATTTTTTAGCTGGAAAGTACTTTGGCGAGTGCAAAAACGGAAAATACAAAATTGAATTTGATGAAAGAAACGTTGGATGAAGGTATGCGACTTTTTCATATACAAGTTTTTCATTGCTGGAACTGTCTACATTTTCAATAATATAATATGTAATATAATATTATTATAATGCAGAAAATGTTTATTTTAGATTTCGAGATTATTTCAGCGGAATGTGAGACACTGAGAGACCAGGTCAAAGACAACGAGAGAAGGTTATCTTATCGTTTTGATTTAAACTGTTTTTCCTAGAGGTCCAGTAAAACTCGCCCCTTCCTAGAGGTCTAGTAAAACTCGCCCCTTCCTAGAGGTCCAGTAAAGCTTGCACCTAAACTTATCTAACTTTATTTATACTGGATGGCTCTGTCAGTTCCAAACTGTTCTTCCTAGAGGTCCAGTAAAGATCATCTCTTATTGATCCAGTGTTACTACAGGAGGAAACCTAAACAAAACCAACATTATTTATACTGGATAGCTCTATCAGTTCTAAACTGTTCTTCCTTAGAGATCCAGTAATGATCATCTCTTATTGATCCAGTGTTACTACAAGAGGAAACCTAAACTAAACTAACTTTATTTATACTGGATAACTCTTTCAGTTCTAAACTGTTCTTCCTAGAGGTCCAGTAATGATCATCTCTTATTGATCCAGTGTTACTACAAGAGGAAACCTAAACTAAACCAACTTTATTTATACTGCATAGCTCTATCAGTTCTAAACTGTTCTCCCTAGAGGTTCAGTAAGGATCATATTTTATTGATCCAGTGTTACTACAGGAAGAAACCTAAACTAAACTAACTTTATTTATACTGGATACTGGATAGCACGTGAAACACTCGTGTACTAACCGTTGTGCTGCACGTGTATTTTTCCAGGTTACGACGAGCACGTGATCAGCTACACAGCAAGAGTGACGATTGTTCACGTGTCAAGGAGGAAAATTATGAGCTTGACGATGAGATAAAACAACTCAAAGAAAGTCATCAGTGAGTAGTGAAAACACTGGAGTGTTGATCGCATGCACTCAATTTCGTTTCCGAGTATGCCCGTTCGCAGGTTAAGGGTGAGCTACCCTTAACCTGCGAACGGCGGAACGGACATGCTCTGGGAACGAGATTGGCTTGCACTCGCTTGAAAGTCCTATATAAACGTTTGGTACCAAATATGACAATTCACAAGCATTGTTTAGGAGCAAGTGACAAGCATGTAATCACACCCATAGCACGTAATTGTCATATTAAATAATGACTATTACATAAAACGTAGCAATATAGCAAGCAAAAATGGAGGATTCTGTATAATGCATGGCAATGATGCCACAACATACAATCTGTTTTGTTCTGTGTAGGATTCCTTACGGCTCTACTGATAAAAATTTTTTAAACAATCAAAATTGATAGTCATGACTGTACATTAAACAACAACACTAATCGACATGATTAATTGATTATCTTAGAGTCAGTCAAATGGCACAACTCGGGACTCTTTATTCATTTCATCAAGTGACCCAAAGTATTTTAAACCTGTCAGTTTAGGCTCACGAGTATCAGAATATGTAAATTTAAATAAGCCTGTTGGTTTCATTTTAAGCTTCCTTGCCGCTAATTTAAGTTATGGTCATTGTAAATAAAATGATGTAATGTTTATTAGTGGCAAAATTAAATTATTTAGATTAATTTATATTTCTATTAATTTATATTCAATGTACTGTTAACGTATGGAGTTTGAACGACGAAATTGTTGTTCTTTTTTTCTAGAGCGATGGCGGAAGCTTACAATAGACGAATTGACGAACTGAAGTCAGTGTTAAAAGGCGAAAGATCAGAAAGGTTTATATCGTCATAGTGTTGCCCTACCATCCCATACGATGCCATATCATAACATACTATACGATATCACTTTGCACCATACTATGCCATACTACACCATTCTGAACTACACCATACAATGGTGTATATCGTCGTAGTGTTGCCCTACCATACCATACCATGCCATATCATAACATACTATACGATATCACTTTGCACCACATGCATACTATGCCATACTACACCATTCTGAACTACACCATACAATGGTGTACTATCACTATACTAATTATAAATTTGAAGTGTCTGTGTCAGTGTAGGTAGTGGCAATAATATGAACAAGCTTTCGTTGCTAGGGATGCAACTACCTGAAAAATATAAGCAGAATTTCGACGTTTCCAGCGAAGGACCTTGGTCTGGAGTTACTTTCCAAACTCACGACGTAGCGCCTTCGCTCGAAACGTCGAAATTCTCCTTATATTTTTCACGTAGTTTCATCCCTATCATGAACGAAAGCTTGTTTACAGAATCTAATCGCTCTTTAATAACCAATGAGGTCAATTCCACGTTTTTAATTCATTCAGATACAATTTAATTCTCAGATGGTAGTTTTTATAATACTTCTAAACGCTTTTCTGTTATACTGGTAACATTCCCTGATATGAGCACGAATTCTACGCAATGAATCAATTATTCAGCCTTCGCTCAAAACGTCGAAGTTCTCCTTGTATTTTTAGGTAGTTGTATTCCTATCATGAACGAAAGCTTGTTTAAATGATTGACACTACCTACACTGAACAGACAGTTCAAGATTATACCATACCATACCATACCATACCATACCATACCATACCATACCATGCCATGCCATGCCATGCCATGCCATACCATACCATGCCTTACCATACCATACCATACCATACCATACCATACCATACCTGCATACTACATCGTACAATAGCTCACAATACCATATCAATAAGTTATATTCTTACTCACTTTAAATTTTCCAGAGCATCATTACAAATAAAGAGAGACGATCTGTCCAAGGAGGCTGGCGAATTTAAGAATGAATATGGCAGTTACATGGTGAACATGTCGGATACCATCCAGGGTGCAAAATTTGAACATACCAAATTGACTGAGCGAGTAGGTTTTAGCATTGCGTTTATATTTATACTGGATAGCTCCGTTAGTTCTGAACTGTTTTCTCTAGGGATCCAGTAAAGATCATTTCTTATTGATCCACTGTTACTACAGTAGGAAGAAACCTAAACTAAACTAACTTTATTTATACTGGATAGCTCTATCAGTTCTAAACTGTTCTTGCTGGAGATCCAGTAAAGATCATCTTTTATTGATCCAGTGTTACTACAGGAGGAAACTTAAACTAAACTAACTTTATTTACACTGGATAGTTCTATCAGTTCTAAACTGTTCTTCCTAGAGGTTAAGTAAGGATCATCTCTTATTGATCCAGTGTTACTACAGGAGGAAACCTAAACTAAACTAACTTTATTTACACTGGATAGTTCTATCAGTTCTAAACTGTTCTGCCCAGAGGTCCAGTAAAGATCATCTCTTATTGTTCCAGTGTTACTACAGGAGGAAATCTAAACTAAACTAACTTTATTTATACTGGATAGCTCTATCAGTTCTAAACTGTTCTTCCTAGAGGTCCAGTAAGGATCATCTCTTATTGATCCAGTGTTACTACAGGAGGAAACCTGAACTAAACTAACTTTATTTATACTGGATAGTTCTATCAGTTCTAAACTGTTCTTCCTGGGGGTCCAGTAAGGACAATTTCTTATTGATCCAGTGTTACTACAGGAGGAAACCTAAACTAAACTAACTTTATTTATTTATGATTAAAGGGGTGAAACTCATGCAGTAGCCATGTACTAACCATGCACTAAACCAACTTTACTTGAGCACAAACAAAACTTTTCGCTAAGATTATTTTTCCTCCTGCATCAGGGCAATGAACTACAACGACTGTTACGGGACGACGAGCAAGAAATTTTAGAAAAACAAGAACTTTTAAAAAATGCGAAAAAATCTTACGCTGACACTCAGAAGAAGTTACGAGATGAGCTCGAAAAATTACAGGTACAGATCGTCTGCCTCAAGATACCAGTATCGCGCATCAGATTCTGTCAACATGGCATACAGAGTAACGTATCTATATTAATGATACGTGATTTGTTTACGTTTTAGGACTCCATCAGTAAACTCGAAAAGGACATTGCAGAAAAACGAAATATCGTGACTGACAAAACGGTATGTTTACACGAAGTCTGACTTTGCAACACCACCGGTTCCTCCTCGAGTATCATGGTAAACATCTTACAACTTGTCAACAAGATGTGTTCGCAACAGGCTTGTAGCAAGCTTGTCAACAAGTTGTAACAATGCTGTTATTTTATCAAGTTGCTACAAGGTTGTCACTCAAGACTTGTTGACAAATTGTTGAATTACAGAACGATAACAAGTTGTTGGAACAACTTGTAACAAGTCTGTTGAGCTCAACAACCTTGTAGCAAGTTGTCAACAAGCTGGGAACAAGCAGTGCGAACACATCCTGTTGACAAGTTGTTTGAACAGCATTGCTACAAGTCTGCTGCAGGTTTGTTACAACTTGTGTGTTTTTACGTGTTTAGTGCATTCTCTTTTTTCCCCTCCAGCCCGGCTACGAGCTTCTGGAACAAGAGTTCGAGGAAAGTTCCAAAGCCTTTGCTGAACTGAAACAGACGATTGTTGGTAAGATGAAAGAACTGTTTCCACTGATCAAGTAATCTTATATTGTGTCAGATTTTACCATGCAGAATTTAAAAATTCCAAATTTATTTACTAGCTAACTGCTTGGTTTTTATTTGTTGTTGTTTCTTATTAAAGATTTAAAAAACAGAAAAGCCAGTTTAGAGCTGACGATACAAAGACTTCAGAAAGAAATTGAAAAAAAAGTTGACCCACAGGTAGATTTATTTTGGAACATTGTTATTGGTTTAAATTAAGAATCTAAGAAATCATTTCTCTTATGTAGAAACGTCTACAAGACGAGCTTCGACAATATCGTGCCGAGGCTCTTCGTCTTATGGCCGAGCAAAACGGAGAAGTCAAAGATATTGAGAAAGAAAATCTATTTTGTTGTCAAAAACTCAGTACTGTCACGAAGGAGAACCAACGGTATATAATATATATTGTGCATTGGATAGCTCTACCCACGTAAAAATGCACAAGTTGTAATAAACCTGCAGCAGACTTGTAGCAATGCTGGTCAATAGGATGTGTTCGCATTGCTTTTATTGATCTAGTGTTACTACAGGAGGAAACCTAAACTAAACTAACTTTATTTATACTGGATAGCTCTATCAGTTCTAAACTGTTCTTCCTAGAGGTCCAGTAAGGATCATTTCTTATTGACCCAGTATTACTACAGGAGGAAACCTAAACTGAACTAACTTTATTTATCAGTACTGGATAGCTCTATCAGTTCTAAACTGTTCTTCCTAGAGGTCCAGTAAAGATAATCTCTTATTCATCCAGTGTTACTACAGGAGGAAACCTAAACTAAACTAACTTTATTTATACTGGATAGCTTTATCAGTTCTAAACTGTTCTTCCTAGAGGTCCAGTAACGATAATCTCTTATTGATCCAGTGTTACTACCGGAGGAAACCAGGGTACCTCCAAAATTTTGTCCAGATTTTGTTGTTTACATACCTAATATTAACTTTTTATTTCTTCTGTTGTTTTGTTCCAAACATTCTCATCTCAATTTTGTTTGAAAGATTCGAAGAGGTACGCTGATCGTTTTTGAAGCGAAGACACGTGAACGATTTGTTTTTGAAACTTAGAAAATATTGTATGTTCTTTTTTTGATGAAATTTCTACGTTTCGACAGGCTATAAATAATGTAGAAGAAGAAATCAGAGTGTTAGAAACGCAAAGTGTGACAAATCAATCACATCAAGCCCAACTGGAACAACAACTTTCCTGCTATCAAGGTTTGTTTTGTACAACTAACTTCACGAACGATATGCTTTTAACTCATGACCATGACAGTGAATGATGGATTTATAGTATACATAGTAAAACTTGAAAAAGTATAAGCGCGAGTTGTTAAAGATCTGCAAACAAGTTGTAACAAGGTTGTTGTCAAACCGACATCAGGATGTGTTCGCACTGCTTGTTCCCAGTTGTTGTGGCAAGTCTGGAACAAGTTGTCATCATTTTGTTACAAGGTTGATGACGTTAACAGACTTGCTACAAGTTGTTCCAACAAGACTAATACAGACTGTTCGTAACAAGTTGCTACGAGCTTGTTGTCATCAACTTGTTAACAACTTGTTACGTGAAGACGATATCAGACTTGTTGGAACAACTTGTTGCGAGTCTCATTAACCTTGTTACAAAATGATAACAACTTGTTCCAGACTTTGCAACAACTGGGAACAAGCAGTGCGAACACATCTTGTTGGCACGTCTTTTTGATAAGATGTGAGATTTTTACCCGTGTAGTAATAAACCAGAATTGAAACGTTTTGAAAGGATCAAATACAAAGTTATCTCATTCTTTGTTTTCAGCGGAATTGTTGACAGCCAGGGTGGAGGATTTGAAGCTTGATAAGGTATTCGTGTTAGAAGTCATTTGCTAAAGCCTGGCTTACACTATATCAGAGTTTGTGTGATCACAGTTCTACGTTTTGAAGGATTTGTAAGAAATGTTTGAGCGAAGTGATTGAGTGTTTACTGTCGTTCCAATTGAAGTGTTCCTCAAATATTGATTCAATACATTACCTCAGGCTGACCAATTCATTTGATCAAGTTCCTCGAGATATTCATACACTTCCTGTGAAAGAGCCAATTCCAAGTATTTGATAATTTCTGGTCACTTCCTTTCTATTTATGATTGGTTAGTTGCACAAACAACAAAAGTGATTGGTGCATTCAAACTATTCAACAGGAAGTTTACAATTATACTAGGAAGTGTATGAATATTTCGAGGAACTTGATCAAATGAATTGGTCAGCCCGAGGTAATGTATTGAATCAATATTTGAGGAACACTTCAATTGGAACGACAGTAACACTAACGCCTGTAGTCTAAAAGCTCACTCACACTCAATGAGTGGAATGTTCAGTGTGAGTTTTCCTTGAGTGTCAATGATGTTTTTGAATGGCTGGAGGGTGAGTAGTCACATAGTAAAGTACGACACTAACCCTCCAGTTATTCAAAAACAGCAATGACACTCAAGGGAAGCTCAGATTTAACCTCCACTCTTTGAGTGTGAGTGAGCTTTTAGAATACAGGCGTAAGTCAGTTTTCTCAATCCTTTCTTACAAATCCTTTAAAACTTATAGAATTTACCTATGCAAAATTCCTACTGTGATCACAGAAACTTTGATAGTGTAACGATAAAATTAACTTAACGATAAAATTGTCCATGCCTTTTTCTGTCCGATGTTTTCTGAAATAGAACCCTATGAACACCAATGCTTTTAAAAAATATTATGAAACTTATAATGAGTTCTTTGAATAGGCATTTTTAACAAATTCTGTAGGTTTTCGCTGAACGTGATTTGAAAATTTTGGAGGATATTCAAAAACTGCAGGACGAAACGAAAGGCAGAGAGTCGACGTAATTGAAAACATTTGCACTTTTGAAATGTTAACTAATAAACTTATTAGCACATGGTCGAAGTGAAACAATCTATTCTTCATTTTTCTTCCCAATATAGGGTTGATGGCATTCATATCAAATTACAACACGAACTTGGCCTTTTAACTTCATTTATCGATGGCGTCGCCAATCTAAGACCCAAAGGTGAACGTCCAGGCTTCTTTATGATTTCCCAAAGTCACAAAGGTGATGAGTAGAGAATTTAGAGTCCGGAAGATTTTAGGACGATTAAGGTTTTATAGTGTTGAGTTAGCTAGGATTTAAACTCGATGATCAATTTTTCGGCAAACAAATGATTAAAGATCAACATTTTTTCGGCAAACAAATGATTAAAAAAGATCATCAATTTTTCGGCAAACAAATGATTAAAGATCATCAATTTTTTGGCAAACAAATGATTAAAAATTGCGGTTACCATAGAGTATTTTAATAAAACACAAACAATAGACACTCCAAAAATTGTAAACATTTTAATTCTTTAAGTTTCGACTATCATTTAAGTGATCTTCAGAAGAATGCCCAAATGGGCATTCTTTTGGAGTGTCTATTGTTTTGTGTTTTATTAAAATGATTAAAAAATCATCAATTTTTCCGCAAACAAATGTCACGAACAACAAAATTCGCCAAGGGAAAGTAAACTTGTCAAGGAAAGTTGTCAAGCGAAACTTAGTTTCTTGACATGTCATGATTTATGAATAATTGATTTTGCAAACTGAAGGTTACGATATTTGCATTTAATAAGCTTCTTCCGTAAAGTTTTGTTGCATTGTCAAAATTCTATACGTAAAATATATTGTAAAATCACCAACTTTTAGGTATTTAAACAGCTTCTAAAACATAACATTTCAAGGAGCATTTTATTACAACTGAAGTTACACAAAGATATTGAAAAGTTTTTTTACAGTAAAAATTTATAATTTTTGCCCCTGTACCATAGCACAGATGAGGTAGATACAGATGTGAATCTTCCGTCAAATTGCAGATTGTTTTATGTCACACGGAATTCTCACTTCCGGCGAGCGCTGGCAAGTGTCGTTCTGAAATTTATGCACCTATCAATGTTAACCCCGAGGAGGGGGGGGTCGGGCAAGGGGTGGGGATTTGACATTTTTACAAAAAAAAAATGTCAAATGCCACTCCCTCGGGAGAAAATTCCTGGGCAAAATTCCCCACCCCCGGGATGAAATTGTATTCCTGAGGTATTTGGTTTCTGGTGCACTCTATAATCTATATGTCAGGTGATAAGGAAATTACACAACTACATTTGGCGGTATAATTTAAAAGTATAACAAATATAAAGAACGTTTCAAAATAACTTAAAATACTCATTAATAATTCATATACCTTGCGGCAAATCATGTCAGCCATATTATGTCACGTGAAGTGAGTTTATAATATCTGATAAAACACAAGCCTGTGTTCCAGTCCGCTACACCACGGTGTAGTGGACTGGAACGCAGGCTAATAAAACACAGTATTCTTATATAATTATATTGTCAGTATTCTTATATAATTGTTCGCCCCAATTAGTATTCTTTT